AGTTTTCACAGCTGATATTGAGCTTCTCCAGCGATTTTTTCCACAGATGTAATCGATCTGATTCCTATGCATACCATCAGGTGAAATCCATGTGTATAATCTACGTTTATGTCTCTTAAAAAACGTATTTGCAATGAATAAATCATTGATCGTGCAAAATTCAATCATTCTATCTCCAGCTTCATTTCTGTCACCAAGTCCATGTTTTCCAACTACTGATTTGTATACACATCTAAGATATAAAGTAATTGGCAACATGCAAATTATCAGTCAATAATCGAACTGACAGGTGTTGTACCTCTAAAAGCAAGCCATAAAGACAAATTGGCATACAAAATGTCACAGAATAAGACATCCTTTTCAGACCATAGCTGAGGTCCATTGTAGCAGGGCAGGATGGAGGCCTGTATGAGGGTATTGGCACAGAGAGCAGGTCAGCTGGATCTTTAATAATGGTTCTTAGCAGAGGCCCAAGGACATTAGGAGAGGTCTTTTTTTGCCTTTTTCATTGCCTGTGGACCTCTGCTTGCGGCAGGCAGTACCCTTATGAGGCTGCAGCTGTCTCGTTGTTGCCTGTAAACTCCTGTTCCAGGCCTCTAGATCCCTGGCAGGTCCAGGCATCAAGACCCTCAGGGGCATGCACCTACCCTCATCACTTATACAGATAAAAACAGATAACATTAACATACAGACAAATCTGTTAGATAAACCATTCTAGTTGGGATGGAAATACATAGTTCTTTGTATTAGAGACATCTTTGTAAACTAAAGTGTTAGATTTGCTTTATATATAGAAGGCATCAAGTAATGTTTTCTAAATGAGTTCAACTAGAAACAAGAGAGTCCAGAATGATAATTCAGAAATTCTTCATCTGGAAAAGAGAGTGTTTAATGATTTACCTTAACATATCATGAACGACCCTGTCAGGATAACATGATATACATGCACAGAATGCCATCTATGTGCCCATTAGAACTTCAAAGTGGGGGAGGAAAAGCACGAAAAAATGTTGAAGCTTGGAAAACAATGAGCCCAAGATAAATTGAGTTCAAATTTCACAAGGCTATACCTTACATTTAAACCCTTATAATGAAAATAAGATTGTATCAGATAACTCTAGATCACTTAGTGACAGAAGATTAAGGAGGTTTGACTGAAACAGACACTGAAAGAAAGTAAGGGAGTATTTGACTTTCAGACAGGATTGAAATGGAATTACAAATTTAGAGATGAGATACCACAAAGGATGAATTTACTTCAACTGGCCCAGAAACAAAGAATATACTTTTTACATTCTTTCAACTTTTATGTGACTTTAAATGTTTGTTAAATAAAAAGTAATTTTTCAAATTATCCCTTAAAATAATTAAAAGGGATCTCAATCAGTTTATTCTCAATAGCAGGGACTGAGAAAGAAAAGTCTTAATCAATACTTACTTCTACGATGAGACTGATGGAAGGAGTACGTTTTGCTTCTTTCTGGAGAGTAGCTTCTACTGCTGACACTGGAGCCAGACCTGCTGTGTGGAGAATCCTTTCGTCCTACAGATGACTCTCTATAAAAACCACTGTCCCTTTTATGAGGAGACCGTTCTCTTGTATAATGGGAAGAGTAGAAGTTTTTTCTTCTAAAGCCATCTCTCACATCCCTTTAAAGAAAAAATAAATGAATTATATCTTGCAACCTATATATGGCGCTCAACTGCTAGTAAAAAAATTAGCGTTGTGAACCCACTCAGACACATCACCTAATAAAAAGGACTGCTGATCAGCTTCTGAAAGGTGTCAGACCTGAAAATGCTATGGAGCAGCTCAACTCTGACATCACAGAGCTGCCACGTGGCAGAGGTGACTCAAAGCCAGTAACAGTAAAGCTTTACATGAAGTAAATCTTTAAAGTAAAATTATTAAAAGAAATTATGAAGACAAGAACTATTAAATATATGGGGGTTTTTTGTTGTTGATTCTTTTTTAATTTTTTTTTTTTTATTGTGCCTTCTCCAGCAGAGCATCTGATGGATTTGAACCACCTACCTCTGGAATTACAGTAATAAAAATATGTTTTGAGATCCAAGATGGCGGCGGAGGCAGAGACAGCGTGGTGAGCTGTGGGAGCAGTGAACCACTTAAAGCAGGGCCATTATGGCCTTTTACAGACTTCAGCTTATTGATAATTGAACACTTAAACAGTTGATGACTGGTCCTCAGTGAAGATCAAGGCTCAACAACAGGAATTCAAGGATTCCCAAGGAGGAATGGGTGAGTCTCGTGGCTCCCAACCCCCTCCCACAGAGTCCGCGCTGCGCCACACAGCCGTTGCAGCTCCATGAGGCTTCCACTGCTGGAACCAATGGGTTCCCTCACCCAGGATGGATGCTGGGCACCGGTCCTCCTCAAGACTGGTACAGTGAAGCCACCACACTGCCGCAAGGTGGACTTGTTTGGGAGAGAATTCTTGGAGCCAGGATGGCAGCAGTGGGGGAAGCCGGCGCCCACTGGCCGCCCACACAAGAGGGGCCACGCACCCGCTGAGTGCCCATGCGGCGGGGTGGGGGGACAAGCCCCCAACGGCCACCTGCACTGAGGGGGGCTGCCCGCGCAGGGGGGAGCACACGCCCCACAGGCTGCCTGCGTACAAGGTGGGGGATCGGATACATGCCCGCCATCTGCAGGTTTGGGTTTCCTTGGACAGGTCAAAGAAGACGATTACCTATGCATTGGACAGGCCAAAGAAGATGATTACCTATGCAATGGATTGCTGAAAGTCACTGTGAGTCTGATGACCTTAACAGTGACAGCATGCCCAAGAGGACCGACATCCTAAATGCATCACATATTTTGTTCTGTTGAATGCTTCTGTCAAAAGATGGTTAGACCTCAGGGGGAGTCTGTTCACAATTCTCAGGTTCCCTTTATCATATATAAAGGGGGAGGGCAGTGACACCTACTTCAAAATATAGTGTGACCACTTATTGGAGGGGGTGGGTGTAAAAGTGGCAGTGCTAGAATGGGAGACACTATCCCTGACCACAGAGTCCTCAGTCAGGCAAGGGGACCAGACTGGAGTAGGGGCAATTGGAGAGGCAGTATACCAGCCAGCTCCTGGGGGGTGTTGCCCCTGCTTGGGATGGGCTGCCCTCGGCCCCAGCTCGGTGCGAGCCGTTGCAGCCCTCAGGGTGAGCTCCTCAGTCCCCAGATTGTGTCATCTGACCCCTGGGTGGGGAAGGAGGGGGGAAAAAAGAATGCCTAGGGTATCCAGAGAATGTTACCTAGGCCACCTTCTGCCACCCTTCCCCCCAGTAAACCTGAAAGCAACACCCTCAAAAGCCTTCTATTTGTAACTCACAAGTTTGTTTGTTCTCTCTACGTTTACTCCCTTTCCTATAGGTAACCTTAACACTGAGTTTTACTCCAGAATTGACCCTGAACCCAGTGCCAGTAACAAAAAGGAAATACAAGTGACAGCTAAGGAAGCAAAGGAGGATGGAGCCTCTGGGTTCAACCAGCCATCCCCACTGGACCCACCTGGGAAAACACTTTGCAGTCCAAAGGGGATAAAATGACAGGAAAATATCTTCGAACAGAGCAAGAAGGCAAGCAGCTTTAACCCAAGACCACCAGTAAGAAGATAAAGCGCCCTCCCTTCCTCCCTTTACATCTATGCCCCTGTTCAGCATGAAGAAGCCAGAGAGTCGGCATCCAATATCCAAATCAATAAGACAATTGGTTTAATTACTATTGGAAAATGCTTATCATTCCTCTGTAGCCTCTGGTCCCCACTGGACCCTCATCATTTCCTTCACCTGCTCCCCCCACCGACCAAACTGTGCAGCTCTGCAACTGCATCCTGGCCCATCCTCACCCTTCTGCCCCTAACCCTCACCTCCTTGTACCCCCAATATGTTTTTTCCCAATAAAAGAAAAGAAATGTTTTTAATTGAAGATTAGCAAACTGCTACTATATTAAAATTAAAGGATACTGAGTTTCAGAAAGAAGCATACTAAGCAAATAACCAATTGCCTAAAAACTTCAAATATATGGCAAGACATTTTTTCTTCTTCTTGTTGCCAGGTGCCATTGAGTCGAGTATGACTCACAGTGACCCTATGACAACAGGTCTGAACCCCATCCTATTCTGCGCCATCTCCACACTTCCTGACACAGTTGAGCCCAATGTGACTGTCACTGTGTCAATCCACCTTGCTGAGGATCTTCCTCTTATTCATGGACCGTCTAACCCTTCCAAGCCTCATGTGTCCCTCTCCAAGGAACACCCCCTCCCAGCAATATGCCTGAAGTATGTGAGTAGAAGCCTCATCATCTTTGCCTCCAAAGAGTACTTGGCTGCATCCTCCCTAAGTCATTATCTTTTTGTTCTTTTGGTCATCCATGGGATGTTCAGTGCTCTTCTCCAACATCACACCTCAAAGCAATTCCCCATGCATAAAAAGGCTTATGTTCTAAAGCTTATTGAATCACTGGAACATTAGCTAATGAATACCCAAAACACAGTAGTGATACTGATAAAATTTAGTTTTGCTGGGCAAAAAATTAGGAAGTTACTAAAATTCATTGATGACAAATGAACTCTGACAGAACAATAATACTGAAATAAATCATTAAAGTCTAATATCAATGTTCAGTCACTAGAACTTTAAGAGTCAAACTAAAGTCAAAATAATTAATTGGAGTGGATATTTATGTTAAAGCATATATAAAACAGATAGAAAACTTGTTTCAATAAACAGATTTGAGGAACTGTATGAGGTGCTAGGTACCCGATATCACACCAAATGAGCATAGGCCATACCATCTCCCTGAACTCTCAGGCTAGTAGAAGAGACTGACTTTAAACAAAGAAACAAAAAAAATATGCCTCAAGAAAGCATTCAGGAAAACTAATAATTTTCTTAATCAAAGTAAGAAAGAGATATAGTTTAGATGGAATGGGGGTGAGGAGATTACATACCTAAAATAAAAATATACTGTTGAAAACAGACCCAAGGGACTAATGAGTAAAAAGAGGAATGCCCAATGATTCCCAGATTTCTAGCCTGATACCTTATTGAAAAGGAAGGGGAGGGGAGTACATTTCAGAAGTAAGCACTGGAGTTAAGAGATCCAAATTTTAATTTGAGCCAATTATGTTGGAGATATTTCCGTAACAAAATATTGGTAGTAAATGTGAGATACTGGTATCAATTTCAGAAGAAAATTTTTAACTAAGCATATAAATTTGCCTATACATAAGCCATACAGAAATCCATGGTTATGGATGAAAACAGAATGAAAAGAGCAAAGGCCACAGAATTTAATGTTGTTATAACTACAAAATAAAGAAATTGCTGAAGAATAAGCAACTAGATAAAGAAGCATGATGATAACAATAAAAAGAATAAATTATTAGAAAAGCCAGCCAAAGAATGTGCCAAACCAAACAAGCCATGGATCAGTATGTTTAAGTACACAGAAGAGAAAACCCAAAGGCAAAGTAAAGACGGCTTGCTGAACTACAGTTTCCTAATCCTGTCACCAGAGGGCAGTAAAACCACAACATAGTTCAGAACTATCTGTGCACTGAGGTAGCTAGACATGTATGGTAGACAGGTCTCTCTTCTTCACACTGCCGGCTAACATGTTGTACTTCTTGACCAGCAGGCAAGTGCCAAGCGACTGAATGACTTTAGTTATTCAAGAGGTAAGGCGAGAAGTCCTCCCCTTGGTTGAGTGTCCAACCTATCTATTCTCACAGCTGTTTTACAAGCAGAAAATATGTTGACTAGGGTCACCAAATGTTTACTGTTTCTTATCTGCAAATCCTTCCTGTTTACAAGACTACAACCATATCTAAATTTTTTAGTTAGCAAAGGACTCTTTTCTCTGAGATATCAGGTACACACATAATCACAAAGCAGACCATGCTGACTTTATGTAAACATGCTGATTTAGGAATGTTTTCCATTTTCTTTGACAAAGTGCACTTACAAGAGTTTTCTCTTTAGGCAAGCTCTAGTGGCAAGAAGCTACACTGCAATCCCAGAGTGCAGGGTTTGAATTCACCAGATGCTCTGCTGGAGAAGGAGAGACAAACTCCTTCTGTACCAGTAGGATCTGATTTGACTGTACACACACACACACACACACACACACACACACACTTAAAAAAACTTTTTTTTTTTAAAAAAGAATTTTCTCTTTAATAGTTTTCTGGTTATATTCTCTCCATCCAAGCAATCTCTGATCTAGTTAGCTTAACCACTACATTGATGCCTTTTAGGTTTTGTTTTATGGATTCTTTTAGCTAGATTAGATAAACTCTTAATTTTTAATTTTTTTTAGGCTTCTTCTGAAGGTGTTTCAGGGTGGTTATGGTTCCTTAGGTCATTAGAATTAGAAGCAGACAAACTAAGGCACATTATATCAACCAAAGCCCGTATTTTATGTCAATATTATTACAATTACTTAGGTGGCAGGATTCAGGCACTGAAAAGAATTTTGCAAATCTTCCAAGACTTTAATTGTGGTTGAACAGTCTACATTTGGATTTGCAATTTTTGGCCCAAGGAGGTAACCTGATTTTCTATATTTATTTTAAAAGCTCCTTGTACACAATCATTGCTCCTGCATGCTGCATAGTATTCCATTCTG